ACCTACCACCACCAACAGTTAACTCCTGCTGTTTTAGTGCTGCCCATTGCAACCCTCAGCAATACGCCACCAACCCCACTCTTGCAACCGGCCACGTGCAGTTACCTGGTGCCTATTTTCCTGCGCGTCACCGTGTACCGCAGCAAGTTCACGCCCGGGCCCTTCTACCTGGGCGCGGCCTCCCTGCCCGTCAGCATTGTCGCGCTGCTGTGGGCCGTGTTTGCGATCGTGCTGTTTGCGCTCCCCCAGGTATACGATGTGACGGCCGCCAACCTCAACTACGCCCCCATCGCCGGTGAGGCCTGGCGCCCGGCCGCCGCCCCGCGATCGAGGTTGTCCTTGACCTGTGTCAATGCCTTGCGCTTTGGGTGCACCAAGCGGTATGGGATAGCTTGACAGCAGGCAGTCAGGGCTGGGGAGCAGCATACGCCCGTGCAGTCTGTTGAAGGCGATGGGGCCTTGCTTGTTTTTGGGGGTGTATGCTTTGGGCGAGCAGACGCATCCTGCTTGGCGGGAAGAAAGGCTGCCCAGCTTTTGTAGCTGCTCTTTGCCCAGGGTCACCACCAGCAGGCTGTACCCTCTTCATTCTTGATTCGATCACCTAACTCTCAACTGTGGGCGGTGCCACAAATCCCCCCACCCACCCACTCAACCCCCAGTGGGCGTCACTTTGGTGCTGGCAACCTCCTGGTGGCTGATCGATGCCCACAAGTGGTTCCGCGGCCCGCGCTTTGGATACGGCGGGAACGCCGCTGATGACGAGGAGGGTGACCCCAAGGGGGCGCTGGCGGAGGCACCCAAGGACAAGGACGCCGACCTCCCGGCAGCGCAGTGACGCGGCCGGCAGGCGGGGGCTGCACGCGGCGCCCCAAGTTGAGGGCACTTTGGTGCTGTGCCAGCGCCAAGGCACTGGCTTACAAGTCACGTGGCGCGGCTTGCCATTGTTGCGGTGGAGTCATGTGAAAGGCGACAGCAGGAGTGGCGGAGGGCCCAACTCAACAAAGTATGCCAAATGTGAACGTCCAAGGACCGAGCGTTGGCGTGCTGATGAGCATGGGCATGGTGGGGTGTGTATGCGTGGACGCATTCCTGCTTGCCCTGTTTAATGGGCCGCACACGTAGTGCAGTTGTGCAGGTCTCACATGTTTGCTGGCAGCAGGCCAAGCATAAGGCCCATTGATATTTTATCCGTGTACTTGCCTCCACCCCCTCAGCAGGGTGCGCGTGCATTACAACTGCACAGCTGCCAATTGAAGATCATGCGTGCGAAAGCAAACTGGCAACCATGCCAAGAGATCAATGGTTTTTGTGTGCTTCCATCTCTGCTGCCCGTGCGGTTGAAGATGGGGATGTGCACACAAACCCTTGTGGATGATCATGTGTGCTTCTGAGATGTTCGCATTGATATGAATTCTGGATGGCCCGGGGGGCTGGGTTGTCCAAAATCCTGTGATAGCTGCTGCATGTGCTGGAGCTTGCTGGCGCTGCAACTTGTGACCTCCTATGCAAGCCGCACATTGCCACGGAAGTAACGCTGCCAGTGCGCCTGCCTACATCACAATACCACGTGTATTCCAAGCTGGCTTTACTAGTGACCCCAGACACCGCCGGGAGGCTCACATCATGAAGGTCGGGGTGGACCTCGATGTGCTCAGTGCCAGGGTGATGTCAGGACACCACATGCGGACTTGCGCCGACGACATGATGGTGGACTGCCACACAAAGCGTACATACTCCCTAACACGATGTCACATGCCCTTACACATTTGTTTTGTTACAGGTCAGCTTGGGGCGCTCGCAAAGTACTCACGCATGGCACGGCATCAAGATTCTGAGCAAGCTATGCGGCAGGACAACCGCTGGTGTCCCCCCCCCCCCAGTTAGCTGCCGGTGAGCAAGCCGTGTGTGTGCAGCTGTTTGGCACCGGCGCAGCTGTGCCGAGGCCAGCCCGCAGGCACAGCTACCTTGCCGGCAGCTGCGCAGTCGCGCCAGGGCGGTGCAGGAGCGCACACAGGCATGGCACAGCAACTTTCTTCTCTAGGCTCACGCAGCCCAAGAACTGTCCTACGCGGTGCATGGCAATAAGTGTTGCGTGCACGCGAGCCCGCCGCGCCGTAAATTCTGAGACTCAAATTTGGCCCAAACACTTAGCTTTGGTGTGCCAGGCATGCCCCTTTGCAGGGTGGATGCACACACGCTTGACCAGCAGCGCACTCCGGGGCTGAAGAGCACATGGACAGCCCGTTGACATACGTGGGCCGCTGGGCAGAACTCGTCGGCCGTACTTGCTTGGTTTAGCAACAGCACTGCCTGAACCTTTCCGCACCAGCACTGTAGCAGAGGTAGGTGCTGTCCAGAGTTCAACCGCAAGTTCAACCGCAAGTTGCGCGGCGCCTCCATGCCTATCCGTGACACCACTTGCTGCACACTGCTACTGCCATGTATGTGGCATGGGTGTGAATGGCGCCGCAGATAGAATGTCGAAGGTGTTACACGTTCAGACCAGTGATCACCAGCGCTCTGAATTCGACTTGGTGCACGGAGGGTTTGCCTGTGCGCGCAGCACCAGTCCATTTTAATTTGTGTTTTGCGCCCCTAGCAGGGCAGCAGGCTTGCTCTAGAAGCACAGTGACTTGATGACCAGAGGCAGCAATAAAGCACAAATCTGGGAATTGACTAAGGGGCTGCCCAGCCTTCCTTCAAGACAGCAAAACAACAGAGCAAACAAGGTACAGGTGACGGGGTGGGTACGGTACACGGAAATCAATCAAGCTAAAGTGGGGGGTCGAGGTTCCAAGCTGTGCGGTGGCGCACAGCTGCTCTCAAATCCAGAAAGGCAGATGACTGCTACGCAGCAAGAGGACGCATGCGCAGGGCCAGCAAATCCTGATTCCACTCGATTCGACTCATCAGCTAGATGGACCGTGTGCAAACTGCCATCGCATTCATGCGCTTGGCTTGGCACGCCCACATCATTGAATTGCACAGCACAAGGCGACAATTGCTTGATGGCGGCTGTACATGGTGGGAGCCCTGGTTCACTGAAGCTGGTTGCTTACGCAGCGATCATCTAAAGGCTGTCCATGCCAGTCATTTCCCGCAGCTTCTCAGCTGCCATGAACATCACCTGGTGCGGTTGGGGGTGGAGGAGGGAGGCGAGGGGGTGCAACCACACATCACATGGTTAAAAACAGCAACCTGTTTGATCACTTGGCTGGATTGGGAATTGCACTGCGCCGCTGCGAGCAAGCACTGATTGGGCCAGGGCTTCAAGCCTCCTCTCAGGTGCTCCAAGCGCATTGCCCTGCCAACCTGCCGCAACCCTTGCTTAGCGGAAGGTTCAAAACAGCATCACAGGTCCAAAACAGCGGTGACGGAAGTCTCACCAGCGTCTGGGGCCCCAGGCGCATGTAGCTGGCACTCCAGCCGCGCAGGAAGCCCTTCATGCCGGCCCTCTGGTAAATCACGCGCGCCGTCTTGACAGGGCCGCCTGAGCTGGCTCCAGTCGTGAACATGGTCGTCTTGACCACATCAACAGGGTTGGTGATAGTGGTACTGACCAGGCCTGCGGAACGGAGCAGGGTTGTTCAAAGAGAGGGTGACGCTTGAGCCTGAATGCATAGAAGGCACAAGCATAGTGGCCGGGCATGATGCCGGTTGGCAGCTACAAGTTGGCAGCTGGCAAGCTGGATTACGTGCTCAAGTGCCACGTTTGGCTGGACAAGTGCCCAAGGAGCCCTGGACATCGGCATGCGTAGCGGGAGGGTGGGGTCTGCATGCGTGGGGCTTGGGCGCGCACCCGTGGCGAGGCCGGTGACCAGCTGCGTGCCGAGCCCGTCCTGCCAGCCCATGTTGCTCATGATCCACCGCTTGGCCTGGTCGTACGTGGCGCACTGCGTGGCCGTCAGGATGCCCGACCGCACCACGCCGGGGGTCGCGCCGCGGTAGAGGCCGATCAGGCCGTCTTGCCGCACCACATTGCGCACGACCTGCATGGTGGAGGTGCCCGCCGCCGCTGCCTGCATGCGCGTCTGCACAGCACATGCACGGGGGAAAGGGGGCCCCAGGAGGGAGAGGTGAAGGGACAGGTGGCGAAGGCGGGGGGTGAGGCAGCAGCTGTTAGTTGCGAACCATACAAGGGCCGCTCGTCACCTCTGATGTTCTGAACCCCCTTCACTACAGACGGCTCAGCCCTCATTTATAGGCGCCAGGGTTGCGAGCCTTACAAGGCTTACAACCAAATTAGGCGATAGGGGCCGCACCTTGAGCAGCTCGGTCGGGCTGCAGACCAGCGCTGCGCCTGTGCCGCTGAGGGTGCCTGCCAGCACCTTGGTAGACATGCTCACGCTGCTCGGCGGGACACCGCCGCTGGCGGCCGCCTCCCTGTCAGCCAGCCACTGCTTGGTGGGGTTGTACATGCCCAGGCGGAGGCCGCCAAAGAACATGCCGCGCATGAGGGAGGGGGTGAGGCCCTTCCAGAGGGCGAGGACGCCCTCATCTCGCACCACCATGGCGCCAGTCGTAAACTGCCACGAGGGAGTACACAGAGGAGGGGGTGAGAAGGGGCCAGCAGGATGCAGCGAGGGTCAGGCCTGGGATCCGCGTTCGTCGTGATTGAGGTCGGCGCGAGGTAGGTTCGGAAGCAGGGGCTCTTGTCTTGCGGCTGCGGCGGATGCACACACCAGGCGCCAATCAAACGCCGGCCCTCATTGGCGCGGCGAGGCGCACGAGAACAGTGCACAGCCTGATTTGCAGTGCCTACGAGATTGGTCAGAACGTTGCTGTTGATTTGCATGCCCATTTTCTCAGCTCACCATGTTGACTCGCTGCCCAACGGGCTGCAGCTGCATTCTGGTCTTGATCATGTCTGTGTGCGCGCGCAAAGCGGGCGGGGGTGGACGGAGCGTAAGCGGTGTTGCTGCATTGATTCGCCAGCAGCGTAAGGTGCGTGTTCCCTTGGGGCTCATCGCGCACACAGAACCCCTGCCGAATCAGCACGCGCATTGTCGACGCCATCAAAGCCGCACTGGGGCCCGGCCAAAAGCCACCCCCGCGCACCCAGCGGGTTGGTGGCAGTGTTGGCAATGCTGACGCTGATCCCCGAGACGACAACCTCTTTGACCACACCCGCGCTGGCGGCCACCTTCGCCTGGGGCTCAGGCAGCGGGGGCCAAGAGGCTGGCTCATGCTCCGCCACAGGGCCGTGTGCTGCCGGCAGGCCCACGCCCAAAAGCTGACCTGATGCTGCCGCTGCCATGATAGCTGCTGCCACACTGGTTTATTCTGTATCCCTCGATGACTGGACGAGCTCTGGGGCTGCGCACAACCACCTGTCCACGCTGGATTCGCGTCCGGGGCGTGCTTTGTGTTGAAAATGCAGCGCTGTGGCCGTGCTGTGCAGGAATCGACCCGGTGTGCTTTTTTAATGGGTGAAATTCGCGACAGACGTCAATAGACCTCCAGGAAGGAGCCCTTTGGCGCTCAATTTCACGCCGCGTCCGCCTGGATTCCGGCCGTTCTTGGAAGAGGTTGTGCACGAGCGAGGACGTGGCAGGTCGGTCGGCCAGGGTATGCTGTTGTTGCTTGCGCTTAGCTTGCTTCAATTAAATCGGCCCCAATGAATGATTTCGGTCACATTCCCTTGGGTCACACATTTGGCTGCGAGGTCACACCTCTGTCGGCGCTGCGCCGCTGCGCCGCACAACTCAACGACACACTAATGCGATGCGCCTGCTTAACATACGGCAAGGTGTGGCGACTAGATGGTATACGGGCTATTATAACGGCATGTGAGGCCTCGCGCGGTCTGCGGGTGGGCAGCGCGCTCTGCCAGAACGCGTTTGTTGTGGGTACGCTGCCTCCACAACCGCTCCTCGCTGGCACTGCATGCACACATGCGGCTGGCCAACTGTGTGAGCCTGCAACACTTGCTCCTGGTACCGTGCACATCCGATGCTTGCATTCAAAGTGTTGACATTTTTGCTGATGCACACTATCAGTCGCCGGGATTGGCTATGATGCTGCAGGTGGTTTCGGGCTGCTGGACAGCGCTCCTGGCCATTGCCCTGAATGGCATGGTTGCCATCACGCCACGCACACCAATTATTATACGTTTTGTGCTTGTTCAAACATAATGCATCACTTGAGGCTGGGGCCATGACCAAGTGGTGCTGCTTGGGGATGCGCCGCGGCGGCTGGCATGACGGGCAAGCAGCGTTGCGGCAGCCACCTGCCGCTGGCTTGACCAGCTGCAACTCAGGCGCGCCCGCTCATGTTCGACACCAGGTTCTGAATTCACGTGTGCATGTGCAAAAGCCAGGCGGCGGGACCAAGAAGGTGGAGACCTGGCGCTGGGGACGCTCTCAGAGTTGGCTGTGGCTGTTGCCTGGGCTGCTTGCCCTGAACTTCAATGTGTGAGGGGTTACAGGTTGCATCACATGGCTAAAATGCATGCAGCAGAAAATGTGCAACTGTGCAAGGAGACAATTAAAACTTGGAATTTACAGAGGTTACCAGCACAAGGCGCTCTCCCTGCAGCAGGGGGGTTTGCGATCATGCATGCGGTGCAACCCGTAAAGCAGCGCACATGCCTTCATACTGCTCACCCAGCCGCAACGCCGACAATTCATCCGCCGCCATCCGTGCCAGTGCTGCTACTGTTAACCTCACCGGCGGCACCGCCCCGGGCAAGGCTGCCCGGCTGCGGTTTATGATCCCCCAGCATCACTTTATAGATCGCCTCAGCCATCTTCTCGTAACCGGCTGGCGTCGGGTGGTAATCATCGCTCCACGTTGCCCGTTTCACCTCCGGGTCAATGCCCTGCACAGGCAGCAGGGGCTCCAGGTCCACAAGGGCTGCGCGGGGGCCGTGCAGCCCGCGGCCGTGGCGCCGTGGGTGGCGCTCCGGCGGCAACGCGGCCGTCATGTTTGCCAGTCGCCGCCTGATCCCGTTGTTCAAGGCATCAAATGCTGCCACGCGCTCTGAAGACAGGGGAGTGTTGAAGGGTGGCAGCGTCATGGCCACGAGGCGGGCGCCGGCCGCATGAATGGCGTCGTGCATGCTGGCCAGTGCGGCCAGCACATCGACCGCGTCAGTGTTGCTGCTGATATCATTGGTCCCGCCCAGCAGCAGGACCCAGCCGTAGGGCTGCTTGTTGGCAGCGGCCTGGGCCAGCGCCCGCCCGAGGCGGTCCTGCAATGCAAAACGAAGGCCGCCGCAATGTTTGTCCAGGGTCAAATGAGACCACGGCAGGCCAAGCTGACAGAGAAGATCCCATTTTGGAAGCGCAGGTGACTCAATGCCCACCTGCATCGCGTGCCGAGCCATCTCCCCGGAGCGCCCCCTCTCATGGACGACGACGCGGCAGCTGGCCGGCATGCCGCCGCGCAACAAGTCGCGCAGGTGATGGGTGTACGAATGACAGCGTATGACGCCGCTCTCGTAATCATGGTACATGCCCTCCGTCAGGCTATCCCCGAAGGCTAGCACGCGAAGCATGCAGCCATGCGCGACTGGTAGCAACCCCGAGCACAGCGCGAGGCCAAGCACGGCGGTCAGCACGGGCGACATGTGTCGAGCGCCTGCGCTGCCAGCGATTTGGCGCCTGCTCCACAGCAGAGCCGTGCGACGTACGGCTCCCATACATGTATTGCTTCTGGCACTGTAACTTGGGGACACAGAGTAGCCCACAGTCCGATGATCTGGTTCTGATCGAGCTTCGCCTGATGAGTTACACCCTCTTGCAGGTTACTGGTTCCGTACGGACTGAACAACGACGTGGGAAATGCTATTTTAGTTTCCCAGTGCGTGTGCTTTCGTGCTAGCAGGGGCTAACATGCACCTGACTGCGTGCAGGCACGGTTGTGAAAGTGTGACAGCTGTTCACCGTGTTGTACTGTACTGCAAGGATGCATGCCAGTGCTCAAATGCGCCTGCAATCATAGGTGCCCCATTTGTTTTATCCTTGCAGCTGCCATTTGTCAGCGTGCTCTTTTCATAGGTTGCCACATCACCCCTCAACTGACAACAGAGCTGCATGGGTGAGGCACCAGGAAGAGCCCCGGGGCGCGCGACACAGCGCTGTACGCCATGCATCAACGCATGCATCAATCCAATGGTGTTGTTCGGTAATGAACCAGTTATCGAGCCGCACGGCACATGTCCATAGACCCCAAAATTGCGGGGCCGCTTGTGGAGTGGGCTGGCTTAAGGTGCTGGTTGGCCGTATGAAATGTACCAGCTGTGCACCCCCAGGCAACACGGTGACACAGTACGTTCAAAAATCTAGGAATCACCGCACTGGCCGACAGCGCTCATTTTAGATGCACATGTGTTCCTTTGGCGTCTTGACGCGTGCTGAGTGGATACGATCGCTTTGGCAGCGTCGACTACCGTACCGGCTGAGAATGTGGCAGGGCAGGCTCTGTGCTTCACGGCAACCAAAATCAGCCGCTTTCATTGCAGGCTGACAAATACGCGTCCTCCTCTTTTGTGGCTGCTTCAAGGCAGCAGGGCCGTGATGCACAGGCTGCCCTACCCTTAGCCAACGTGCCACTGGTGACTGTGTGGGGCGGTCCAGGTGGATGAACTAACGTTGCGCAGCATACGAACATCAATCCGCGGTTGGATGCTTGAAACACACCGCACATTTCTGTCAGTAGACGCCCCTGTGCCAAGGCAACGACTGGACGGCAGGCGTTGGGTCAAGCGCAGCAGTACTGAATGCAACACAGAATATACGCACTGAACAGGAGAAGAGGAAACACCAGCACACAACACCCGACAGAGCGCAGCCCACATGTTTGAAGGTCTAGAATGTCTTGATCGCACTCTGCAAAGCATGCACACAACTGCTGCAGCGGCACCGCTAGGCTCAACCAGCTGAGCTGGCGCTGCTAGCGTCACTACGGCTGTCTCCACTCCCGCTGCTTTCATCGGCGCCGCTGCCCGCCCTCCGCCAGTGGTGTCCGAGCATTGCGGAGAAGACCGCCTCTGCCATCTGTCCGTAACCAGCTGGCGTGAGGTGCAGGTGGTCGCTCCACGTCGCTTTCTTGACCTCCGGGTCGACGGCCTCCACAGGGAACAGCGGCTCCAGGTCGACCAGCGCCGACCGCCGCCGATGGCCGCGCGGCCGCACCTGCCGCTGCGCCCCGCTCGCCGCCACTGCTTCCGTGTGCGCCCCTGCGTTTGCTTGGGCTTCTCCAGACGCGGGCGCCTGCCTCGCGGCGGCGCTCACGTTTGCGAGCCGCTGCCTGAGGCCCTCGTTCAAGGCGTTGTAAGCTGCCCTGCGTTCTGCCGGCAGTCGCGTGTTGAAGGGCGGCAGCGTCATGGCCACGAGGCGGGCGCCGGCCGCGTGGATGGCGTCGTGCATGCTGGCCAGTGCGGCCAGCACATCGGCCACCGCGGCACCGGTGCCTATGTCGTTGGTTCCTCCCAGCAAGAGCACCCAGCCGTACGCCTCGCCGTTGGCGGCTGCTTCAGCCAGCGCTCGCTGGAGACGCTCCTGCGGTCAGCAACGTCAACAACCACATATGCGCAGGGGTGAGGGCCGTGACGGGCACTGCCACGTTGCTCTGGCCCAGCTGCTAGACCGCATAAGAGCGACCCCGGTTTGATGGCATGCAGCCTCAGTCCGTGGCACGGCGCGCAGCCACAAACTCACCTGCATCGCAGGAACGACCTTCTCCCCGGACCGGCCTCTCTCATGCACGACGACGTGGCACCCGGCCGGCAGCGCGTCGCGCAGCAGCTCGCGCAGCCGCAAGGCATAAGAGTGGAAGCCGTGTTGCCCAGAGGCAGGGTCGAGGTACAGGCCCTCTGTCAGGCTGTCGCCAAAGGCCAGCACCCGCAGCGGGCAGCCGTGCGCCCGGGGCAGCGCCAGCAGGAGAGCCAACAGTGCGGCTGTGACGTGCAGCAGCTGCAGCTGTGGGTTCGGCCGCACCGCGGACGTCCCGCTGTGGCAGGCATGCCACGTCGCCAGGCCTGGGAGCATGCTAGCTGTACTGAACCGTGACACGGGCAGTAATTTGGCAAGCGGCCTCAGGTTAGAAGACCGTAGAGAGGCTTTTGTTGCAGTTGTGCCGTTGGGCTTCAAATGAGGCCTGATCTCGTGTCTTATGTCCCATACACTGATAACGGGCTGTCTAATTGTAAGATTATATGATAGGATGCAATGCTATTCGCATGCGACACAAAGCACACATACGTAAAATGTTATTGGCGCGTGATCACGGCCTCGAAGCCAAATGGATCCTCTTCCGGCGCCCCCTTCTCCCTGGGGTGATGCGGTAGTGCCGCTACTTCACGCCGCTGGCTCAAACGGCGGAGACGGCACCCGCAGCGAGGGCCTGATGGCGCCGTCGCGCCTGTCGCCCAAGCAGAAGTCGCTGCTGCTCAAGATGAGGCGCTTCTGTGAGCACCGGCTTGGCCAGCCGCGCATCGAATGGAGGAGCGCGTGTGCTTGCATGCATGCCTGGCGGCTGCGCACGGAATTGGTGCGTGTTGCATGCTGGGCAGCGTGTCGCGGGGCCTCAGTCGGGCTGTGGTGCGATAACCGCTCAATCACAACTGCCGCCATTCGCGCTTCGCATGGCCACGGTCACGCCCCCCCCCCTCCCCCCACCCCCCGACATGGCTGCAGGGGCGCACAAGTCAGAGGTCGCCGCGGGCCCTGCGGCGGCTCCGCGCCTGCACGACGCAGCTGGCGTGATGGCGCGGGAAGCGGACGAGCCGGACGCAGCAGCCGAACGCGACCAGCGTGCCGTCGGCGGCAGCGTGCCCCCTCTCGGCGGCACACATGCCTGCAATCTTGAAACACTTGCCTTTCACGGGGCAGCGACTGGCGGCGTGCGCTCTGCGCACCAGCAGGACAGGCTCAGCCAGCTGCTGAGGGAGGCCATGTCACGCGGGCTGCTGCAGCTGGATGGCGGCGCGCACGGCGGCAGCGGCGCGGCGGGCTCCGCCGTGCCGCTCATCGCGCCCCCACCGCCGACGCTGCCGCCCTGCCCGCGGCGACGCCCTGTGCCATCGCAGGGGCGCCATCAACCACCCCGGCGGCAGCAGCAGCAGCAGAAGCAGCAGCAGCCGCAGCAGCAGCAGCAGCAGCAGCAGCAGCAGCAGCAGCAGCAGCACGCGGCGTTGCGGTACAGCCTGTCCAGCTGGGACCATTCCTTCCTTGCCGATTCCCAGGCTCCAGCGGCCCCACGGTACCATGGCGAACTACAGCACGGCCCTGCGCTCCAAAAGCTCGGCTTGCAGCAGCAAGCTTCCGACCAGGCGCAGCCAATGGAGCCGTTCGAACCCTTTGAGCCCACGCATGTGCAGCTGCAGCCGCTGCCTCAGCCGCCTGCCGATGCGCCCTGGGCCGGCACGGTGCTGAGCATGCGCCCTACCGGCCGCTGCCGGAGCGGTGTTGGGGTGTCCAGCACCGGCACGGCCGAGGCCACAGGCCCCTTCGGCATCAAAGCACTGCATTCCGGGCTGGAGCGGCCTCCTCGTGCGCGGGTCTCCATGGCTGCATCAGCAGGCGCCCTGATGGCAGCGGGCAGGGCAGGGGCGCCGCCCTCCGGAGTCAAGTTCCAGTATCTGCGCCGCCGCGCAAGGGAAGAGCAGCGGCGCGAGCAGCTCTTCGCACAGTGGCAGCTGGAGGAGGACGAACGGCGCGCCACCGTTGCTGCGCAGCAGCAGCAGGACGACGCAGAGGCTGAGCTGCGCGCGGCAGCTGCAGCGCCATCATCAAGCGCACCCCCCCTCGTCCGACAGTCTATGGCGTTTTCAGAGTCCCCCTGGCTCGCGTCGCCCCCGCGGCAGGTTGGCAGCGGCAGCGGGAGTGGTGCATGGGGCCAAAGCCCGGGCGCAGCCGCAGCAGGTACTTCACCTGAACCCTGCAGCCCGGGCCCCTCGCAGTTGACACCATCTCTGCTATCAGGGGCCAGTCACAGCGCGAGGGGCGCGGTAAATGCACACGCCACACCAAGGCAGGGCTGCGAGGCGAGCCCGCAGGCCCCCTGGGCGCACAACCCCCTTTTTGGAGCCAGCCCCAGCCCAGCATCCGTCCCCACTGCCGACCACCTAGCCACCGCCGCTGGTGCTGCGTCAGCCCCACCGCTCTCAACGCCGCTGACCGTTTGGACGGCCGCCGCCGATGCAGTGCGCGGCGCTGGCGGTGCGCCGCTGCTTTCGCCAGCCGCCAGCCGGCACGCAGATGCGGCCTCCTTGTGGGAGCAGCCTGCAGGCTGGGGGGCAGGCGGCGCCGAAGCCGCTGCCGGCTCTGCCAGCTTCGTCACATCCCCTGAATGGGGCGGCTGCGGCGGTGCACAATACAGCCCCGGCCTTGCGGGCGACCCCGCCGCGCGCAGCAGCGTCACTGCGGAGGCGGACGCTGTGTACGCGGCCCTCGCATCCCTTGCCGCAGCGGCCCGCGAGGGGGGTCCGCCGCAGCCCGCATGGCCCGGCGACGATCCCTATCATTCCTCGCCACCTGCGGCGCAGCGTCACTGGAGCCATGCCCCTTGCGATACTGCAGGCCACGCGTCGCCTCCGCCGCTGGCTCCCCCAGGCGGGCCAGTGTCAGAAGACCAGAATCCCACCCCCTCGTCTCCGTTCCAGATGAGCGGCTTGGGGCTTTCTCCCCCGCCGTCGCAATCAGCTGCTGTCAGCCAGAGGTGCTCTCCGCCCACCTCACCCCAACAGCAGCAACAGCAGCAACAGCAGCAACAGCAGCAACAGCAGCAACAGCAGCAACAGCAGCAACAGCGGCAACACCAGCAGCAGCAGCAGCCGGAGCAGCAGCCGGAGCAGCAGCAGCAGCAGCGCCCTTCGCCGGCGCGGCAGCTGCAGGCCCTGCTGGGCAGCCTGCTGTGTGACCTGACGCTGCTCAATCAGCTTGCTGACGAGGCGGGGCTGGACGATGACGAGGCGGACGAGCTCAGGGCGCTGGCGGCCGGCAGCGCGATGGACGACCTGCGGCGGCTGCTGGAGCGTGGGGTTGGTG